CCCCCCCCCCCCCGCCCCGCCCCTATCACCTCATAAAAGTGATGGTCTGTATCTAAACCTCAAACGACCATTTATATCGGGCGGCTCAAATTTTCAGATGTTTTAGTAAAAAAGAAACACTTAGTAACAACATATGCCAGTTTTATACTTTGGGAAGAAAAGATGCTTGTAATGCGATTTGAGCCTAAATTTAGGGAAAGACACTTGTTTTGTGATGCACTTTTCCGATTGAGATACGTTGCTAGACTGTTGACTCTCGAACTGAACCTGGGAAGCAGGTGGCTCATGCAAAACTCCTCACACGTATTTTTCGAAACTGAAGAAGCCTACAAATAAACAGGCTTGTCTCAGATAAAAGCAGTCTCCTCAGCGGGGGATGAGGAAGAAACGCAAGCCGTAACCGAACGTCCCTCTTCCCCCACCCCTCCCCCCTTCTGTCCCCCCCAAGCTCATTCCTTTTCTTCTTTTTGTTCTATTTATTCGTACGTTATCTCCAAAGCGAGACCATTTCTCATTAAGGTAAAGGCCCTCTTATATTCGATCTTTTTCATTTGGGGTCCGATATTTAAAGCCAAAAGTTTAAACATTATTATCGACCTGTGACGCATCCGGTCGTTTTTGCCAGCCATGTCGTTCTCGCACTGGCAACTTCACAAAGGACGTACATTTTATAAAAGAGCTTGGACTTAGGGGTCGGGAATAAAAGGCAGGAGGCAATTTCCTCCTCCTCTAGCCCCTCCTTCCCCTCTTCTAGCCTGCCAACCATTCCAGACCTTGATTTCGCACTAGCTATCCACTCTATTTTAGACTAAGTGATGGCCATTCTCTAACTCAAGGGCCTCTTCAGTCGCCGCCTATAGTGATTTGTAGTATTCGATTTTCCATGTGTGAGGTCCAGTATTCAAAGCCAAAAGGTTAATATTTCTCTTTAACCTGTGGAACATTTGAAACCTCTCTCGCTTTTTTGCATTGCTTGATGTGCTGTTCACTTCATGGCAACTTCACAAAGAACTTAAGAATAAACAAATTTGTCTTGAACAAGAAACTCCCCCTGTGGGAAGGGGTTAGAATGCCGTGAACAAACTCCCTCTCGCCTCCCTCCGTCTTTCGTTCCCCTCTCCCCTTTGACAGCAGCCTCACAGGGGCGTTATCTCTACTGTCACCGCTCCAATGGGGCTTGTTCGCGACATTTTTATATATCAGTTGATGTATAAAACTTAATATTCAAATCATTGTAAAACAAATATTTATATTGAATGAAACGTTTAATTGTTGAGGCCAAGAAAGCATTCTGCTCTCTCTATTTGCCCCAGACTCCCCACCTCCCACTTATAGGTTACTTATGCTTTGTTGTAGCATAGTTAACTATGGTTGTAGTATTCAGGTACCTGATATTCAAACTGTAATGTTCAATCGTTGGTCAGAACCTGTTGCACTGTTGTTGTTCGATCGACCTATACTTATGTTTTTGCCGGGCACGTTAAAAAGTTTGCAGGAACCTCGCGGAGAACCTTCTGGTCTTCAATATTGTGCTATTAAAAGTGAACGTGTATTCAAAGAGCCAGAAAAAAGAGATTTTATCATTTACTGGTGTACCAATACACCGAGATTGTATTCAAGTCATTCAAGAATTGCCAGCAAAATGACGTAAACAAGATAAAAACCAGTACATTTATGTCGTTCATTTCAGTCTGATGTTTTCTGGAAACCTCCTTACACAACTCGCTTCGATTTCGGAGAGCAACGTTGCTCGGTAGATATTTACATTTCAATTAGCAATGTTTCTTTGGTTGTTATGGTTACAAGTAAATTTTCCCGGGAAATGTATGTTATTAGAACTTCTGTCTTTCTCTGCCATCTTTTTACATTGTAAAAATCTATTACTATATGTAATGTCACAACTATCGGATATAATTATCGTATTGCATGATAATGCCTGATATCTTATGGCTTTTCGGTCTTTTTAACATCCACTCTGGATTATATTTTCGTCGAGCACCAGTGGTCCAATACAAAACATGAAGCACTAACGGTTTGTAACACATGGCTTGGTGATATTGTTGATGACGATTAATGAACAATTTGGGTTTTCTCGCTTCGTAGCGCGTGTTATAAAAGCTATTCAAATTTGCCAAAGTAATTCTTGACTTAGATTTATGGCTTAGGACTTACCTACAGTTTTAATTGGTGGGCAATTGCTCTTCTGATTAACTAGACAACGCACATTTATTTCCAATAACCTTTTCTTTCCGAGTAACTATTGTTTAATAAACTCGCGGAAAGATAATTGTTTGGGCTAAATTGACTCAAGAGCTTCCTTCAGTGCTCTAACCGCATGAAAGATTCATAAAAATCGTTTTAACTCACTAAAAGGAGACTATAGAATTAGATATTAACTTCAAAACCACGATTTTGTCCGAGGGCCTCTATCTCACCTCTGTTAAGACTGTATCGGCCTATAAAAACCTGCCCGGAGTTTTGAATAAATTCTAACAAATACACTGAGATGTAGTCACTTTATTATAAAGAATTGTCAAGCTGTAATTCTTTAATTGAAATCTCTAAGCGAGCGAAAAACCGATGACATTGAGTTTTTAGGTCAAAATACCAGTTTCACCACAACAAAACCTCGGCGGTCGTGAGCGACTGGTCTAACTTAACCACGGTTTGCCCTAGGGATAAAAATAACTTACCGCGTTTCGGTGGCTGCGAGCTGCTGCTTCCACAACCCATGTGTCATCTGACAGAAGTAACTTCGGTAAATGTGCTTCACTGTAGTTCATACAATGCACGGCTTCCTTCGCTGCGCTTGTGAATCTCAGTGTGATTTGACATTTGTAATGAATAACTAGCGCAGGAATGTAAACTGGTCTTTTGTCCGGGTATTTACGCGCGGTTTAGTGATTGGGTCGAGTGGATAAAGTGACGCCATAACAAGACACATAAAGTGCCAAATCGTTTAAACTGAGATTAAATTAAGCCACAAGAGGCTATAAAAAAAGGTGAAGATAGAACCACTTGTCTCGTTCGTCGAAAATCACAACACAGATTCACATCCGGTAACTGCGTGGAAAAGGTTTGCCAAGCGGTTTGTCGTGTTCAAAACATTCATCGCGTCACGTACTCCGAAGTATTTACTAAATAAAGCATTTGGAGGAAGACCAAAATAACACGCATGACCTCCGTCGCGTGCAAGTATTTAAATTATCACAATCATCAGACAAAAACCGATCACAGGTATTGCTAAATTTTGTTATTTTTCTGTAAAGGTTATCACAGCCTTTTTGCGACGGGATTTGTTTTTGACGAGTTTAGAAGTCATTTCACAGATCGTGTCCGTTCAAAACAAGGGATAACTAACGGATGTGATACTTAATACGGTATGACGTACGTAATTGAAAAATAAGCAATATTGAACCCAGCGAAAGTTTCCTTTTGTTTTGATTCATGCGTGCATTAATTAGTTAATTGATTAATTCTCATATTAAATATCGACAGACATATTCAAGTAAGGAATAAGGAATAATGAATAAATTTCCAGCGTAAAAGAAATTTCTTTTCAAGGTTTATCGTCAATTAAGGAGCTTGCTGGATAGGAAGCCTAGAGAGTGCGATGACACAGCTTTTGCGTGAGTACCTGTATTAAAAGTGCGGACCATCGTTCCCATATGCCCACTCTTTCCAATAACGTCATAGAGTAAAAGGTGTATCAGATAAAGTGGGTTTCTTTTACAGTCTGAAAGAGCTTGCACAGCAGTCTTATTGTTAGTTCCCGATAGCGTGAGGGAAGCCTTGCAAGAAAAAAAAAAAAGCTTGAGTACTGAGACGGAAACGGAAATACAAAACACACCAGAAGGTTGCAAGCTAGCTACGTGATCAGCAACGAGTGTGAAAGCGCCCGGAGAGCAAATCCGACTCGTAATCTTAGCAATTTCCGTTGTTGCCTAGAAGCTTGTAAACGGAAAGGGAGGGAAAGTTCTATCGGTGTTTATAAAATACGCGAGATACTTACGCGCGCTCTCATTGGTCGATAGGTGTGTTAAGATGAGAGTACGTAAACACGGTTGCGATGTTTTAGATTCGCGCGTATTTTTGAGAAATACTTTATAAAAGCAATAGAGTACTTTTTCCGTGTTTACATAGCCTCATCTAAACACCACCGGAGTTGGGAGAATTCTCAAAAGTTATGCAAACCCTCGACTACGTCTCAACCTAGCTGTGCCAGGTTGTTTATCTGAAAACTTGATGGGCGCTCATTCGTTAGTAAGCCAAACAAGGCACCCGAGTTAAAAGAAACATGGAGTCTCTACGATAAAAAATTAACTTCTTTATTATTTCTTCACTGAGTTAAGAATTTCACACAGTTTGATAAAAAGCCAAGTTTCATGAAATCCTCATTTGCATTATATTTCTGATCTAACAGAGATCGATATCGAACTTCGTCTTGAAATATCATTACAGTCAGGCATGTTAGCTACTTTATTATTAAGATACAATTCAATTATTTCATTCACTTTGAAATGAAATGCACGAGGGTCGTACAGAGCAGTCAGCTAATTATCATGTCCCCTCCCTATACAGGTCAAAGTTTAGCAGTGACTAGATTTTACAGCTTTGCCGTGGGTTTCCTTGATAGCGCTGCCTTTATGAGCCCAGCTGGTTTGTCAGTGGACATCAAAATCTACAGAAAGAATAAGAAAAAAAGAGACATGATCGAAAATCTATAGTAAATTACTGCCAGAAGAGAGCTGTAGTCAGGTCTAGTCAGAGGGACTGGCCAACCTTCATAAATAAATTAGCTGAAGAGTTCCCAACTCTTTCTGCCCTTGCACAAAATTGTGTGGTGGACACTTCAAACGTTAATGCAAACCTTTCACTGTCTGTGAATATTCAGTAACAAGACTTTAACTCTTCAATAATTTTCAGTAGGCACGAAAACAGGCTTGGATGTGGAATTATCTGTACATTCCGAGAAACGGACAGTTTGGACAGTTTTCTAACAATGACGTTCGAGGCAAACTGACATTTGAGTAACAAGTCAACTCCAAAGAAATATAACTCATGCATATTTTTGAAGCCAGTACGGGGTCTTATGTTCTTAACCTCTTCCAAATATTTTCTCAGATAAAATGTAATCTAATTTTTCTTAGCGCCCACAAACATTTTCTAGTGTCATCAAGACGTTCCGTTCTATTCAATTTTTCAAAATAACACACACAACGTGCAAACGTACTTGGAAACTCAAATTTTGACAACTGGAAGATATCACATGGGAATTTCCTCGGATAACCTCACTTTTGCCTGAATCACGTGATGCGTTTAGACCAATCGCACACAAGAATTTTTTCATACAGGAAAAACGAAAATCTCTTTCTGGAATATTAGGTGTTTTGGAGAATGATATACTTGATAAGCCGAGGCCAAACACCAAACCTGCCACGTTGCATTTCTAGCATTATTTTTTTAAAAGTCATTTAGAGAACTGCTAGCTTAATACATACATACAAGTTTGTCCAAGTATTATAATAATTCAAACTTCTTACAAAAATTCTCGATTGACCCATACTGTCATTAGTTGTGTTTTTTTGCATCTACATTTTTAAACATGCCAAGATGGTATAGCATCCACTGCTCTTTCAGACCAATGTTATTTCTCAATTATTCTAAAAAGCAAAATACTGAGCGGCTGTAAAGAAACCTTTTACAATTTATTGTTTACCTCATCTTTGTTGGACATTCCAAATGGCGCCATGTTAACGGTGAAGTAATGAATGTTCGGCATCACCATCTCCACATAACCAATCTGCAACAACCACAAACACAAAGTATTACGAAACTGAGCTTCTATACAGCCTTACCTGGCCTGATGCACTTCCACTAACTTTAACTTTAAATTATATATTAGAGCCAATACGAGAAAAAAAAGTCCATGATGCCGCTTCTTTCAATTCTACAATTTTAGTAGGAAAAATTTCTGGAGACATGTTCAGCTTGGTGAAACACATCTTAGGACTGAGACTGGAAAACTAAGAAAGTGTTAAGAAATCTTCGGAAAAGTTAGCCAGAAAGTTCTGGTCATGCTGAAATTTACTTGTGTTATGATCAGAAAATTATCTAATTTATGAGTAGTTGAAAAATGAAAAATATTATACCCAAAAGTGTGAAAATAAGAAAATGTGTCAAATGATACTGTTAATGAACTGACCTGTGGAATGCTGTTCAAAATCTTCGTTTCAGCTTTGTACAAAGTGTTCTATTATCAAGGAAAAGTAAACAAAGGATTTACAATAAAATTATACACAATATACAGCAATATTTCAAAATGCATCACCACTGCANTTAAGACTTACTTGTGTTATGATCAGAAAATTATCTAATTTATGAGTAGTTGAAAAATGAAAAATATTATGCACAAAAGTGGGAAAATAAGAAAATGTGAAATGATATTGTTAATGAACTGACCTGTGGAATGCTCTTCAAAATCTTCGTTTCAGCTTTGTACAAAGTGTTCTATTATCAAGGAAAAGTAAACAAAGGATTTACAATAAACTTATACACAATATACAGCAATATTTCAAAATGCATCACCACTGCACTCCTGTTTTGTCTTTCCACTTCAAAACATTTCAAAAATCTCTGATTTCAATTTATTATTTTCTAAGTCTCTGTGCTCTCAAAATGATATGAACTCCCAGCGTATCAATTATATATGAATTAAAGGCATATTTTATTGTATTGAACAAAAAAATATGTATTTTCAGATAAATGAAGCCTATACCGTGAAAAGGGCCTGAACTGGCCTTAACAGTCTGTTGTTAACAAGGAGTTACTGTACAGTCACTAATGTTTTAGGTTAACTGACACTTCAATGCAGTGACAATGTAATTACTAAGTGCAACGTGCCTGTACAGAGGGTGAGTAGACACCAAAGTGGGGTGGTCCGGCAAACTCCTCCAGAATTGTGTTCTTGGCAAAATTCCTTTGGGATTACAAGAAAGGCATGTAGTTAACACACAACTGTAAATGTTTTTCAAACAATTTCTTGTGTGGTTGGGGACTGAGGTGAGTAAGGTTCACAACTCTTAAGTGCTTAACTAACTGAGTTTTTGAAGCAAAAAGAAACTAGATGTTTTGCTACTTCCACTTTGGGATGTTAGCACATCACAGGTTCAGTGGCACATCAGAGCACATAACATTTTTCCAGGTTGCCTGGCTAATGGCTGAATGGCACCCATTTATACACCTGGGTGCCAGACATTAGACAGTCTGTGAGACTGATTGTCTTGCCCATGACCTATGCTCAAATCTGGAACACTTGGTTTAGACTCCACAATGCCCCCTTTTCAGCTGCATATGACAACTCTTTTGTGTTTAAGTATTCTCCAAATTCAAATGCCAGCTCTCCAATATCCCGAGGTCACAGAAACAAATAGCAAACATTGAGAAAATAAGCCAATAAACTAAATGTCTCACCAACATGAACTGAAGTCCACACCCCTTGTGGTATCAAACTGGTATCGGCAGGTCACTTTGGTACAGAAGGAACGATCTGTAGATTCCGGCAAAATGGTGTACTTGTCTTTGCAAAAGCCTGTGAGTGATGGAAGACTCATATCAATGCAGTATTCCAGGGTTTCATTAATGTTCTCAGCAGGAGGACAACTGGTTTTCACAGGCAACGCAGGCAAAACTATTTGAACTGAACTTCTCTACAAGGAAAACTCTCTGCTAGATAGTCAAACCAGCTGTGAAAAAGTCATTGTTACAGCTGGTCAATATTATTTGCCCAGTGCTTGGCTCTTAATGAAGCCCCTGAGTATTGATCCAATCAAAGTCCTTTTAAACCGCATTATTTACCTGTGAATCCTGACTGTGTTGTCTTGAGAATTTGCATTTCTTTAAGACCACCAGACACCTTTGGATTCTCTAAACAATATAGACAAAATTTCAAGCACCAAGAAATACATTACAAAATAATACTTACAGTTATTTTGATCTAATGTTATTATCATCTCTGCCTAATTCAAAACAAATGAAACCTTGTCTCCATGTTAGGAATGGGAGTTATTCAGGCATACTCAGTGCGATTTCAGTAAAACAAGTACAAAAACAGCTCAATACTTACAGGTAGCTCAACACTAAGCAAATCAAAATTATATAGGTAGGTAAGCTTAAGTCTGCATATGAGCCAAGTGGCCAGGCCGGAGCTTATCTCGGTTTCAGTAGCATGAAGCGACTAGGAGTGTTTCTCCTCCCCCCTGGATGGGATGCTAGTCCATCGCAGGGTTACACCCAGCATTAAATTTGCCTGTACCCATTTATACACCTGGGTGGAGAGAGATACCGTGAGAGTTAAAGTGTCTTGCCCAAGAACACAACACAAATTATGTCCCTGGCCAAGGCTTGAACCAGGCCTGCTCGCTCTGGAGTGGAGCACACTAACCATGAGGCCACCACGCCTCCCAAACCATGAATATGACTGTGTAATTTGCATAATGTAAAATGACACATGTACATACACACATGTATCTACTACGAGTCTACATTATAGTCGTGCATATGCCTATTTAGTAAGTATGAGCTAATATCTTGTTTTTTTTTCTTTTTTGTCACAGGCCATTGTTGTTTTCAATGGCGTGACAGCTTACCACAAGAGTAAGAGAGAGACTTTTACTTTTGAATTACCACTTGAATTCATGCTAGACTGAAAAAAACCTGTTGCAATATTTATTAACTGCACCTGCAGAAAATTAACTGGGGCTGATTATTTAATATTTGTCACATCTGTGAAACAATTAATACTGTCAGTGCTTTGCTTCACTGGATCTCAGGCAGTATCTAACTGTTAAAAATGTTTCAAACATGGCCATAACTGATAGAAGTATGACTGTGCACACTTTACTGGATACTTAAGTTTAGAAAAATAATATGGTATCTGTACCTCCTCTTGCTTGTGTAACTGAGCAAAATCTTATCACTTCTGGATTTAACACAAAGGCATGAGCATGGTCGACACCTCCCTGTTTGATGGAACATTATCATATTGAGTACAGTATGTCATTAAATGGAATGTGTATACACACAGCCATCCAGGACCAAACTGAGGTCTTGTTTACCAGTGACACTGACTAAATAGCACATTAAGTTACCTGTTGAATACGTTTCCAAGGGCTTTCATCAATTGTTACAGATATGTGATCAACCTGGTAAGAAAACAGGACAGTACAGTTTATTATCCTGCCAAAAATTAGGGAATTTGATGACTTGTAAGGAAGACTAAAATTTATTTTTCTGAAGCCCTCTGTCACAAGATGATCGTCATATACTGTATTCAGTGTTTAATTAAGCACACATCAATAATTTATATAACTAGAATTAAAAATAGGAATTACCATAATAATTAAATAGGCACAAAAACATTATATAACACATTAAATCAAAAGCCAAAAAGAATTTTTATATTCATTACTTTGAAAAATATTGTGTAAATACCTGTTTATGAGTTGACAGAAAATGATTGCAAATATGGAGTGCAAATTCCTCAATATCATTAACCTGCAGACAAAAGATCAATCATAAAAGATATAACACTTGTAAACATACACACTTCATCTGTACACTAATGTTATGGAAGGAAGATGCAAAGGGAATTTTTATGATAACTGCAGAAATTCTCACGCTCTCATTGGCTAATTTTCATTGTCAATATGCGGACAGACACAGGAATTTATAATTTATGCGATGCGTCAACGGGAGAGAGCGGACAATTTATTATCGTTAAAAAACAAATTGATGTCAGTTTTTCATGCATCTGTCCTGTTATTGACAATGAATTTCATCAGAACATTGTCAAAGTGGATCCACAGCTACTTTGACAATGTTCTGATGAAATTCATGATCAATAGCAGGACGGATGCATGAAAAACTGATGTCAATTTCTTAATTTGATACAAAATTGGACAATACTTTATTGTCATCAGGCAGTGCCTTAGCAACACAGCATTTGATTGATAGATGATTAATTTCATACTATATCAAAAAAAGATTCAAATAATTCTCCCAAAAGTTTCTAAGAAGTGTGGTGTACATATTGTTTCTAAGTTTCTAAGAAAAGTGTGAAAAGTTTCAAAGAAGTGTGGTGCACATCCTGTGCATCTGCACACCTTGCTCATGGTGGGTGACCAAGGGGCCATGATGGACACATATAACCAATGGTGTGATCGTTCAACGAAACGCAGAACACTATTGGAACCCATGCAGCCTGACCCCCTCCCTGGAAGCAAGAAAGGAGGCTGGTGAGGTCAAGGGGGTATGATCACTACTAATTAATTAGCCGTCGATATTATTATTTACGCACGAAACACATTCAACGATCATTTAAACAGATCTTGCACCAAGTTCCTGACTTCTGTCACGTATTCTTTCTTCGTTTACTATATGTTGCGTACTTGGGTTGCGTCGCGGGGTTGCGTAACACGTTCCGAGCGGCAAAATATCAGCAAACCAGCGATCGATTGCTAAACTGGTTGTTTCAGCTTTAACCCATAGATGGCAAAAATTAAGAAAGTATAACGATCTACCTACCGGGTGATCTTTAGCCAAAGCGTAGACGGTGTTTTTCTGTGTATCCGTCGGGATTACACTAGTGTTGTTTCCAGTAATATAATCCTGGTAGTTTGCTAACTTTAACTCTGTTGCCACCTCTATCTGCTTGATGTCATGGTACTTTCCACTGCGTTTGATCTTCAGAAGACGCACGCCGCTTTTCCCATAGCCAGTAAAGGTGGGGTCAACGTGGAACCTTGAAGCCATACTCTCATATAATTTCGTTACGTCGATCCGGACGAGAAAAGAATATTTACACACGTGCCCAAAACTGTGCCACCGACACTTATGGCCAGCGGTGAGCCCCTCAGCGCGCGCAATCTGAAAATGGCGGCAAGCGAAGCAGTTTTATTTTCTTGGAAGACTCCGTTTTCTACTCCCATAAGAAAGGACGAAAATGCTTGTCGAGATTTATTTCAGAATTCTGAAAAACTTCTGGCCTCAGCTGTGTCGATTTGTCGACTAAAGGGCAGTGTAGAATGCCAAACGGGCGGCTTGATTACCGTGTGCGAGGAGCTGCAAAGCTTGATTCGTTTGGCTTTCTCGGGTGAGTGAATAAGTTCCCTTTTTATGCTTCTTTTCTTGAAGATCGACAATTTTAATCATTCCTACGTTATTTTATTATTCAATAATCCATAAGAAAGTAGTAATTACTTTAACCACCTCCGCATTTTCATTCTCTCTAAAAAAAATTACAACGTAACGCCAGCACTGATCGAATGCAAACACATGCATACCATCACATAATCCAACGGTGAATTGGGAATATGCTAAAATAAATCCGCATGGTGCGTGACTTAACATAGGGGTATATCATGCAGCTGTAGAGATAACCGTATTGCAGGTATTATAGGCTTCTGCCAGGAGTAGACCTAAGAGTTATCAAGACTTCGCCATTGCTTAAATTAATAATTCACCTTCCCTCCATTGAATCCTGAGCTTACGTCACATGAAATAGGAAACGGCTTCAACATAGAAATTCTTTGAAAAAAAAAATCTTGAGAATTACTGTCTTGGGGTAGAAAACATCTATACACAACGGATCGAAAAATATTGAAATAAATTTAGCTTCATCTCACTCTCCTCCCTGTTGGATTTTCTTCCTTGGGGAAAGTATGAATATTTTTTTGGAACCTCACCCTTCTGGACCACGGTTCAGTTTGAAGAAAATTGCCATGGTGACAACAGTGACAGGAGATAAATGCTTTGTAATTATCAAATTAAAAGGAAAGGGATGTACAGGATGTACACCATAAAATTCTACCTATAAGCTTGGGGCATGTATATTAAGGGGTCTCGCTTGTTATCAGTATTTTATAAAAACTTGTAATAGGGAGAGCTTATTTCCAGAGTGGAACAATCTATTACTGTGCAAGTCAACTTCTCATGGGTAATGTTCCTTTCAGAAGAAATTCCTCTGAATCCTCCTCATACACCAAAGTATCAGCCTTAAACTCCTGATGTGAGACAATCACATAGTTTCTTGTAGTAACAGATCAGATTACATTCATGTAGATTGAATTCCAATGTAATAACTTTTCTTCCCAGAAATAAGACGTCTTGAGAAGGATTTCAATTCCCAAGGAAGTCACTTCGAAGATGAAATAACCTGCCTGAAGGAATATGTTAAATATCTTGAGGAGAGAAAGGGTCACCGTAAACACTATAACAAGAATGATGACTGTAAAGAAGTTAGTGAAACCACTCATAATGAACACAGGTAATTTTATAAATGAGTCGTAGGCCACTATGCTAAGAGCTGTGAAGCGAGGTTATATTTTACATGTTGTTCATAAACATCACATCGCTACATCAAGTAATATTAATTTTGATTTTCTTTCATTGTTTCGACTGTACAGAGGAAAACTAAGCGAGTGTGAGGAAACTGAAAAAGAAGCAGACTACTCAATGCTGGAGCCTGATGAAAACTTAGAAGAAAGTGATCCTTGTCTTTTTAACACTGGCAGTACGGATGTCAAGGTAGATTCTGTTGACGATGATGCATCATTACCTGTACCTACTAAAGAGCAGAAGAAATCCAAATCTCTACCAGAAAACAAAAGATCCAAGAAATGTTTGAGGAAACTCTCCTCAAAGAAAGGAACAAACTCGTCTGAGTCTGCGAGTGAAGTGGACGACCTGCATCCATCAGCTGATTCAGGAGTCAGTGGCGACAAAGAAGGATTAGAACAGAAATTAACAAGATCCACAGAAACATCCTTGAGTAATGACAAGATGGAAAAAGAGAAAATGGAAAGTGAAGATATAGCACGGACAGATGCTGAAGTACCAGAATCTGATTCTGATTTTAAGGGAAACTCAAAGGGAGGCAAAGAAGAAACAAAAGTCAAGAAGACAAGGAAGAAGAAAAGAGGTGTGTCATTGAAAGATTCTGACAGGAATTCTCAAGATCAAATGCCTGAAGCTGATGTCAAACAACCGGAAGAAATTAAACATACCAAGAAAGGAAAGAAGAAAAGATCATTGGATAAAGGAGAATTCAAGGAAGATTTCCAGACAGAAATCCCAGGTGAAGAAATTATCCAGTCAGACACTGGAATAAAAACAAAAGGAAAGAAAAAGATCGATTCTCCAGTTCAGGAGAGGCCAGAAGTAAAACCAAACAAGAAACTGTCTCGCACCAAGGAATCAAAGTCTAGTTCTGAAGACATGCCAAACACAATTGAGGAAGAGATGGTTACTGGACAACCTGAGCCAATGGAAACTTCTCAGAAACAACCAAGGGCCTCTACCGCTGGTGGGATGTCAAGCAAAAATGTGAAGTCCTCCAAGAAAGAGTTGACAACCACTGGAGAAAATGATGAACAACTGGGTGATATGAGCTTCCTCATCAATGTCAATTCTCGGATTGCACTGTTTGTGGCTGATGCCTCACAAGAGGAATGCGAACTACAACCCATGACAGCCAGGGAACGAAATGATGTCTACAAGGTAACTCACCTGTATAAACTCCGTGCAAGAATAGGGACCAAGACTGAGAACAACCTGACGACTGTGCGTCTGTCCAAGCAAGCTGACACAAGAATGCCAAAACCTGGTAGAGTTGATAGCTTACTGAGTGAGCTGAGTATTGCAGCATCTAAAGTGGCATTCAAAGAAAGCCCTAAGAACCAGGAAAAGAGAAAGTTCTCCGCTGTCACCGAGGGGGATGATCAAACTGTGGCTGAAGATGGTCTTGATCAAGCTGCCCCACCCAAAAAGAAACTCACCAAGCTCTCCAGGAGCAACAAGCCTTAAGTCTATGGGGATGGAGTGTACAGGAGCAAGCAACTCTTCACAAGGTACTTTTACTTGTATAGTTTGCTGAATATTCAGGCCTTTGCAAATGTTTGATCCATTAGGTGCTCATCCAGATAAGACAATATTGTGAGTTAAAAGATCAGTGGAAAAAATTTAGAAAATCTGTTACACATTTTATAAAACTTCATCATTTGATGATTTTGCATTACACATAGACTCTAATTTCTTGTTACTAGGATTGATTCTAGAAGCTTTATATATCCAAGATGCTTTATCTAAAGTAATCAGATCAAAAAGATCCTTTACACCCAGCTCCACAGAATGCTACTCTTAGCCTGTACACAAATAGCAGGGTCAAGTGGATAGCAAACATGAGCCTGTTACATCTGAATCCAAAACTTGTAAGGTAGTATAATTTGGCTCAAAGGATTAATTTCAAAATCCACCACTTGAAAGAAGTGAAGAAACAAATTAATACAATTTCACAGCAATACATTTTGATATTTTAACATACATTGTAGCAATTAGTTTTTTTGTCATTACTTTTATAGAAATTGTTTAAAATCCTTGTTTTTAGTTCAAGGACATTTAGCTCTAATAAAAATATTCATACAGAGTAGCCTCAAAGTTGTCTGTGATATTGCTTCAGGAGACAAGAATAATTTGATGTGCAGCAAATGAATTGACAACTTCATTTTGGGAAAGGAGGGGCTGACTGACTTATGGACAGCCAAAGTAACTGCGATGAGTAAATGAATCTTTGACTTCCACTCATTATCAGTCTAATTAAACAATTTGACCTTGAACAGTTCATACTGATGGAATATTACAGCAACAATAATTGGCATGGTTTCTGATTTTTGTGATTGTCTCTAACATCCCATTCCCTATGTGTTGAATACATTACAGTTGGCTATTGTGCTGTCTGTCACAAAAACTTGCAGGATGTAAGTAAATCAATCAATAAATTACAATATTTAGAGAGAAGTCACATCAGCTCTAGCTGGTTTTCGTGCAGGTCCTACATATATAGGTGAAATTGGAATTTGGAAATGTTGCTTTGTCACAAGGGAAAAAACAGTTCATGTGTACTTAAGGCATACACAGTTGACACTCAATCAACACTTGATTAACATCTTGGTCGACAGTCAGTCAAGAGTCCAGTAATTTAAGCAGACATGCCATTGAGTGTCAATCAATATGAGTCAGTCAACACTTGGCTGACTATCGACTGACACTCGATCAAGAGTTGATCAAATGTCGACCCAATCNTCAATCAACACTTGATTAACATCTTGGTCGACAGTCGGTCAAGAGTCCAGTAATTTAAGCAGACATGCCACTGAGTGTCAATCAATATGAGTCAGTCAACACTTGGCTGACTATCGACTGACACTCGATCAAGTGTTGATCAAATGTCGACCCAATCAAGTGTTAATAAAGTGTTGACCTAGATGTTGATCAAGTGTTGATTGAGGGTTGATTGGGAGTATCGATCGACTCTCGACTGCCGATGCCTTTATTGTGCATGATTAAAAAAAAACTGGTTAGGATTACGTGCAGAAAATCCCACAGAGCAAGTACATAACCAAGAAATAAACTTTTCAAGTGTTTCTTGGTTCCAGGCAAGCTTTACTAAGCTTATTTATTTATTTATTTATTTATTTATTAAGCTTCGGCCTTCTATTACATATAAAGAAAAAGAAAAAGAAGAGGAAGCAAAAAAAAAAAAAAAAAA